ATTATAATTATAATATCATATTATTAAAATAATTATAATATTATTATAATATCATATTATATGATAAAATAATAATATTAGAGTTATTAATATAATTATGATATTATTTGTTACAATATTATATTATAATATGTTATATTACGAGTTTGAATTTTAGATTAAAAAGATTGTAAAATTTAAATGTCATTATTTTATTAATTGTACTATGTTGATCCCGCACAATCTAAAAGCTAAAATTGTCTTTATGTTGCTTCTGATTTTGGTTGAAGATTCTTGAAAAATTCTTCAAAAGCACTTTTAAAGATATTTACCAAATACTAAAATTAACTTCTGCTACAAGCAGAAGCTAATTTTGAGATGAAAAAGTAATACCAAACTAACCCTAAAAGAATTGTGAAAAACAACCCTCTTCCCCTTATTCTATGGTATTTATAGATTTTTTTGTTAAATTTATTATGCTCTTCTTTTCCCCTCCATATCAACCTTACTCATGAGTTTCTCAGCTCTGCATTTTTGCTCTTGCCACACCAACCTTATTATTAATTAATTAGAAATAAAAATATGCTTATCTTATCATTAATTAATTAGAAATTAATATTTTTAAACATGTTTAAAAAATGCTTTAAATATATTAAAAATTGAGTTTTTATTTTTTTAATTTAAAGTTTCTTAAAATATTTATAATATGCTCTTCTAAAAAAATCTGAAAAAAATTAACTAAAGGGTATGAATGATTTCACGTCCCAAAAAGCTGCCTCAATGTAAAAAATTGTTTTTTAAAAAAGTATTAAAAACACAAATACTAAATGTATATTTCAGTATAATATAAGACACCAAAATAAAACTTTCCCTTATTTATTTTTAAGGTAATTTTCCCTTGTCTAGGAGAACAAAGAAGTATACAAAGTTTAGAGAACCATTAGCCACAAACAAACAAAAAAAAAAAAACGGATTAGTTGAATCCTCAATGCAACTATTAATAGCTATATCGTATTTGACATAAAAAATGTGTAAATATTAAATAGTCATTTTTTATTTATACTTCGATGTATAATATTATTTTAAATATTATATTTATTTTTTATCATAATTATTACTTCGAAAGTCATGAAAATAGACGTTTAATTTTAAAATCATACGAGAACATCATAATCGTTAAATGAAATGGAATACATCAATCTGAACCTTAAAGTCTGTAGACTTCTCAAAGAAAATTTTTAAAAGGAGAACCTTTTGTTCAATTTGAGAAAAAAACCAGATATACCATTAAAAATGCTAAAAAATATATATTATTAATATCCATTCTACTAAAAAAAATAAATAATTATCATTTAATTAATAAAAAATAAAATACTATAATTGTACCTCAATTATTTAAAATGACATAAATAATAGACCTGCACAAAACCATGAAAAACTAAGTACTTCGTCAAATTTGCAGGCTAAAGGCTTAGATAATCACTTGTGAGGTAGAGATGAGAGACAAGCAACATAAGGATGTTAGAATATTTTTATGTGGACTTTCATAATAATAATAATAATTCACTCTAATATAAATTAAATCATAATTACAACTTTGTTAATGTAAATTAGTTTATGCATGTATGTCAAATACTAGTCCATAATAGGATGACCAGTTAGTTTATTGACAAGTTTAAGATCTATGGACTCCTTCTCTCTTTGGTACTTTAGTCAGCCCATTTGGCCAAAGAGCCTTTCCACAATTTATAAAACCCAATAGTCTCACTTAACTTAAACCCATGTGGTTTAAAGGGTTATGCACATCTATTTATATGTGAGTGGGTGCTAAAGGGTGTGTGATGGGTCATGGGTGTGTGTAGAGAGGGTAAGAGAGAGGAGAGTTTCATTACTCTCAAACCTGTTTCACTGGCGAGTTTCGATGGCTTAACGGCGACACCAACGCTTCTGACGGGTAACCTACGAACTTTTCTTTTGGACATGTCTTAGACATTAAATTGGATTGGTTATTTTCAACAAAGGAATATTGCAGTAAATGGAAGATTTTTTAAACTAAATTAAGTGAATAACATATTTTAAAACTATTTAAAGTAAGTAGCAGTTTCATGCGTAATTAACTAATTATGCATATCGAGTGCAAAATATAATTTTAAGCTAAGTCTAAACATGCAATATGAGACTGGTAAACCAAAGTGAGGTGTTTTATTATTATTTTTTTATTATATGTCTTTTTTGTACGAATACTCTCTCAAATTTACGTATTTGGTAAATTGGTGTTTCAACTTTTAATCTTTGTAATTTAATTTCTAAACTTTGAAATTTATTGCGATGTGGATCAAATTGAAAACGAAGTTAAGATTTTAGACGGTTTATTCTATATGAAACTTTAGTAAGGTTAATTGTAGTCTTTTTATAGCGAATCAGTCTCCTTATGTACACTATGAGTGAAAATTGAAATTGAGGACCTCAGCTTTTTCTCCCACAACAGTTAACTCTTTTAATAAATTTTTCGCTTACAATGTGCATACAAGGACTAACTTAGAGCCCGTTTAGTTCATGGATTAGGACCATTTTTGATTTACGTGTACTTTTTGTGAGAGAAAATACTGTAGCGAACCATAAACTATAATTCGAATCAGAGAACGAATCCTCCAACTAAACGGGCTCTTAATGTAAACATACTAGAATTAGCCTCGTGTTCATGTGGTAGAAACTAAGAGCCCGTTTGGTTCATGAATAAGAACCATGAGATTAGAATAATTTTTGATTTACGTGTATTTTTTATGAGATAAAATATTGTAACGAACCATGAACCATGATTCGAATCAGAGAATGAATCCTCCAATTAAACGGGCTCTAAAATTTTAAATTCGTCTTTAATTTGAGCAATATAATAATAAATTTCAAAATTTAAAGAGGTAAATTGTTAAGATTAAAAGTTGAAGTTGGGGTGATATCAGTATAAAAAAGCCTTATTAGATTGTACTTACCGGCTACGTGCCTGACCCGACGCACATAACTGGATTGCTTTGGCCCTAAATTTCTGGGCCGCAAGTCGGCTCATAAAGGTTTTACATGAGCCAACCCAGCCCAATAACGTGCCGGGCCAGATTGGGCCGTACCCGTTTTCATGCGGGCTGGGCCTCGTGGCCCTTATTTGCTGGTTAAAACAGGTCTTTGGGATGGCCTACCACATAATTCCTCTGAAAAGGAGAGTCTACCATAAAATAAACAAAATCCGGCGCAGAAAGTCGACGATGTTAAAGCCTGGATTGCGTGGCCACGCGTGAGCCAGATGGACTGACTCGAACGGCATCGAGCCTCAGCAAACAAACTCTCTCTCTCTCTCTCTCTCTCTCATAGAGTCATACCCGAATTTCCAAAACTCAACTGGGCCCCACTTCAGCTCTCTCTCTTGCGCTCCAAACAAAGCATCTTCCCCCATTATTCCATCTGGAAATCCCACCCTATTTTCGCGTCCACCTACCTCTCCCGTGTACCCTTCCACCGCAGCCGTTGATATCCAAACCATCACCAGATTCCATCTCGCCACGTTGCGTTAAATCCCAAGGATCCCGGAACCAAAATCGCGATTCAAAACAGTTAAATGTAGAAGCGTGGAAGTGCGGCTTTATATAAATACAGGAAAAAATAAACGGCCCGGAGGAGCAGAGAGGAGCCACAATCGAGGATTTTTCCTTCCATTTTGAAGAGAGAGAAAGTCGAGATCCGGCGTCGTTTCGTCCGTCGAATATCCGTATTTCCGAGGTCTAGAGGGAGAAAGAGACATGAAGGGGTCGGGAACTCTGGTGGCGTCGGTGCTCGCCGCTTCCACCGTCGCTCTCGGCTCCTCTTCCTCCTCCGCCGCCGGCGACCGTGATGTTCCTTTATATCCTTCCTCCATTGTGGTATTTTAAATTTTCACACTTTTTCCTCTCTTTCTGCGTCGTCAATTTGCTCGAAACTATTTCAAATGTTTATCTTCTGAAACACAAAGAACTCTTCAAGATTTGTGTGGTTTATCATTTATGAATGAAAAATGATGTCGATTTTAGGTTTTGCCTTGGCGGAATTGCTTCATTTGACTCATTTTCCCCTATTTTTTATTTGATCCGCGCATTTCCTTCCGTCAAAAATCAAAATTTCGACATCTTCTCCAAATGATTTCATTTTGTATGGAATTAAGTCTGTTAATTTTAATTAGTCTTTGCTTTTACATATTCACAGGGCTTTGATTCGTCCTCTGGAAGAAAAGGTCAGACTAAAACGTCGTCGGATAAGGAGAAATTCGCGCCGAGGTTCGACGGATTGAGGTTCATAGAAACGCTGGTCACAGCCCACCGATAACTATTCTTTTCCTTTCCTTTTCTTTTCCTGTTTCCTTTTTCTTTTCTTTTTTTTGAAGTAACAGATTAACTGATTTGGAGTTTGTTATTAGAAATTGGGCTCTTTACGAGTCGAAGAGTTTTTTCTTTGATGAATAGGTTGTGTCCTTTGTCTTCAACAAAATCACAACCGAGTTTTGCCGTGGTCAACTTTCGTCCTGTTTGTTTTGTTTTTCTTTTCTTTGATATTTTTACTATTCTGTCAAACTGTATTTCATAATCATTTTGCTGTAAACAAAATTCGGTGCAATGATTTGCTTGGTGTCCACCACAGAATCTGCCCGTTTTAAGCATGATTAATTTATCAATTTCTTTTTGTTATCAGGGAATTGAATTGATTGAATGTGTTAATCAAGCAACTACGTGGACAATTGTACACATCTTTTCGGTTGTTCTGGTCATTTAGAATTAGCTGTCGGGTGTTAATTTCTTAATCACACGACTAACAACACAACCTAACTCTTAATTGGTTTCTCTCTCCAAGGTTTCTTAGCATAATTGTAAATCATAAATCATTTATGGCATGTTGGTTCACTGGTTTATATTAGTGATTTTGCTTTTGATTAATTTTGTGAGAAAGCACATTGATGGAAACCTTTTTTATTTAAATTGTTATGCTTGGGAAAAGTAGCTAAAAGCCTCGACCTTTGAACGAGGCATCCCAAAGGTCTATATTCGAATCAACGACTGCAGATTGAGGCAAAAGTTTAGGCTCTTAGAGAATTTCCAGATTGTTCCTGGACTTTTAAGCATATAGTGAATGACAAAGAACCCAAAAAAGAACATAGGCATTACATAGTCGAACCTCAATAAATTTTATGTTCTTTTATTTACTTCATTTATTATTCATCGATTTGCACGTAATTATTCCTTGAAGGTGGTTAATTCGAGTTGATGAATTTTTACGGTCAATATAAAATTTTTTAAGAGAAAATTATTGTAAAAGAATCAGAATTATACGTGCGTATCAGATTATTGTTGTTGAAAGATTGAGAGCCAGATTTGGGATGTTCAACATCTTTCTGCTTAAAATTAAATTAATATAAGAATTAAAAGGAAAACTACAGAATAATATCTTCAGTAATTGCTGCTGTTAATTCATAAAAATGAAACGCGGTTCTCCTAATTAATGAAGATATTTCTTTTGAATAAGCTCAATATCGATGGCAACCCCTTGTTTACACTAATTCTGACCATGTGGAGGGGCCAGAAGTATTTTCTATCTTTGGTAGATCAAAGCATTACGTTGATTGATGATTGTATATGAACATTATGTTGATTGATGATTGTGAATGAAATTTTTACAGGTAATTAAACCAAAAAGATAAAAATAACTTATTTCTGTTTATAGTAGAGCAGAATTTAACAATAGAACAAATTGTGTTGATGGACGTATAAAGTTTCTACCGGAAGCTGCTTAAAGAATTATTAACTATTAACTATATTTAGCATTATCATTATTCAAAAGATAAGTTGGAAGAACTAGGGGAGAATGTGAAGACGTGAAGTAACCATTTTTTTTTAATCTTTTATTGTTATTTTTTTGCTAGAATTTTTGTCTTTTATTTTGTTTTCAAACAATAGCATCTTTATAATAGGGCATGCATTTTTGTTATACAAAAACGTTTTTTAAAAGTTAAATTTGTATTACTTGCATTAAAATTTATAGTGTGCGACGACAACCCAAAACTATTCCTAATACAAATCAAATAGTCAAAAAATAATTTAACAACTAAAATACAGTTCTTATTAATAGATCAAAATAGCATTCTTCACCTCACTGCACCCTCCAAACATACATCTCGTTCACAAACTTCTTTTATTTATTTTGAGGCCGAGCAAACCTTTTGGTGAGAGAAATGAGAATAAAACAATGCACATTTCGTGTGGGTTAGATGCTTGTACTTATTTCGGGTGGGAAAAAAACGTTCTTTTTAAGCTAAAAGAGATTTCTACGGTAGGTGGGTACTTTTTCCCCTACTGGTAGGGTAAAAAATGTGCACCATCAGATTAAAACTAATGGTTCAAGATGATAGTGCTCATGGAAATTAAAATAAGAACAAGCACATTTGATTTCACCCTTTATTTCAGGTTTAATACATAATATTACCCTGAATTTTATAAAATATCATCTTATGCCCAATTAATCTGAACCATAGATATACTTCCTTTTAGATCTTAGCCCTTAACAACTAAAACCCTAACATCACATAAAAGTTTAGAAAGGTGTTAAAACATTTGCAGCCACCAGCCGGCAGCCTCCTACCTCGGTTGCCGCCCTTCGCCCAGCCTTCACCGGAGACCTTCCCAACTATACACCTAGACACCCCACCGGCTGCCATCACTCACGTCGCCTCTACACCTCAACACCCCCCGGCTGCCACCACCGTCAGACGTCACGCCTTGCCCTCGTGCCGTCGTCAGACTTCAACCCATCGCCCAAACCGTCGCCACCAATCAACGGGTTTCGCAATCGCAACCCACCACCAGCTACGACCAACTCGGATATGAGTTTGTAGAATTTGATTTTTGACCTTGGTTTGGATCTAAGGGCAAGCTTACAGAAGAAGGCATTATTGAGAAAGAATAAGTAGATTTCTTCAGTTGTTGAAAAAAGCTACGCCATTAACAGATGAAGAAAAAACTTGAAAATTGAGGGCCAAGACGACGGATACTAAGAAAATGCTCAAAAAGATTTGTTTTCGACGGCGGCCCCGAGCTTCACCAGCCCACCCTCGCTGGCAGCAACTTCCCACCTGTGGACGGTCGGTTTTCGTCAACAAGACTGCACTAGATTAACCCGCGGTGGCCCGTTGGGTTACGGTTAAAACTTGTAATTTAAATGAGTATTCTAAACACTGTGTCGATGTTTTTGGTGTATTGTGAAGAGTATTTGATATTGTGTGTTCATGGAAGTAAAAACGCACTCAAATTTTTATAGTAGTTCACCCTTATAAAAAAAGAGCTACATTCACTGTATTGTATTTATCTTTTTGTTCTTTTAAAGGTTACATAAAGATGATCCTCTTTCTATCTGGGGCTTTGCGTCCTTTTATAGTCCACAGATTGTATGTGGGTGACAGTCACAGGGAGTTACATGATGGTTTTTCTCAAGTAGGTTGTCACTCTACTTGCTTAGATTATAGTCTTTTTAGCACATTTTAGACTGTTCACTCATTTAATTTGTCTCATATCACGACTCTGCAGATCCTAGGTGATCCTCATTCGTTCTCTCCATGCGGTTTATGGGCAAGCAATCATCAACCGTGTTGCTGACATTTTCTAAGTCCAGACGCAACCTGAGGATTTTCCCTTGTCCGCTCAAGAGCCTTTATGGGGACGTGGACTCATACTTATGCGGTCTGCCCCCTATGCACATACCATGCAAAATAAAGTGCAAACCCTTTATCGGTCGATCCTATCATGGTGCCTCTGACGCGAACAGGTCATGCCTCGACTATATATAAGGTCGACGGTCTTATGAGCTCCATACAATCGGCCCTTTTAGCATGTGGAGGGGAGACGAGTTCTAGGCATCGACAGCTATCTGTCGTGGCTGACACCATGCCACGTGGGGCACTACCGTTGTCCGATGTGTCAGCATACATTTTCCCACACAACACCACCCTCGCTGGATTCTGGGTTTTACTTCATCGAAATCTGGGGAGAAATTTGCTAAAATGAGAAAGTGAAATTGACAAAATAATCTTTTTTATCTTTGTACGAAGAACGATCAGATGGCTGTTTTTTTTATAAACAAAATAGTCGTTCTATAGTGATTTTACAAATAAAATTTTTTTTAAAGTTATTTTACTCATAAAATTTTTCTATTGAATCATCTTTACAAAGGCCTCAAATCAATATTTTGTATAGAGATTATTATTTTTATATCGTGAAATTAATTTGTGATTGAAAATTAATTTTTGTATTGTATTTTGAAATGAATTTGTGTTTTGTTGAAGTTTATTTTTTAGGAAAAAAGTTTGTGAAATTTGTGTTTTTCGTTTTATATTTGAGAAAATTAGTTTAATTATTGTGATTAGTTTTTAATTAGTTTGATTAAATATGGGAAATTATGTAGTTAGAGAAATTTATTGTTCAAAGGTCATACTTGTGAGATTAATGTGTAATTAGTTTTATTTTTAAAAGTAATGTGTGTAATTAGAATGCTGTTTATTTTTATTAGACTTTTCTAATTGATGAAATAGGTTTAATGTTTAGATAAAATAGTTGGTTTAATTTTGTGATTACAATTATTGTCATAAGATTGTAAAAAAGAAAAAAAAATCTCATGTCTATTTATCAAACAATAATCTAAAAAAAAAAAAAAATTTGTTATTCCTAAGAGAAAAAATGTGAATCTTTTTTTCAAAAAAGTAAGACTTGTTTTATGATAAATTTATGAAATAAAGGCTACTTATGTAGTTATGTTATTATATAAAATATGGGGTGAAAAATTATATTTTCATAAAAATAAGTGATTTTTTTGTAATTATTTTCATTTTATTTGGGTTACAATCAGATGTGAAGGGGAACATTTTTTCCAACTTTTAGTGTGGGACCCAATCTTCATCCGCTCGTTCTCAACTGTAGGATGCCACCATACCGGTAGTAGAAAAATACACTCCCTTTTTTTTTTAACAATGAATTTCTTTAAAGGGAGAAAGAGGAAAATAGATCAAGACTTGAGGAATTAAAATTAATAGGCTAATAGTTTATATAAGTTAATAAATAGGCTAAATTACTGTTTTTGTCCATAATTTGTCTGGTTATGAACCATAACTTGACAAATTATTGTTCATAAATCACGATTTTTGTCTATAACTTGTCTGGTTATGAACCATAACTTGACAAATTTATCCATAACTTATCTAATTATGAACCATAACTTGACAAGTTATGACATATGAATTTCTATAACTAAAAATTGACTTATATACTTCTTTAAACTTTCATATTGACCTATTTTCTACTATTTCCGTTCTTTAAATTACGTTTGCAAATCACAGCCGTGATTCAATTTACCTTTGTCTTAAAGATAACTATTTCCCTCCGAATTATTGGTCCAAAATTGTCATCTAGTGAAAAAAAAAAAAACAAAAGAAAAAAGAAATCATCACTGCGTATTATCTTGCTAATACGGCCATTTTCCGCCAAGAGAACTGGGCTGTTCAACGCCAATTTCTAACCTAACAAAATTTTCCATAATCCAGATTCCAGATTAGTGGTGTTCATTGATACGATTAACATTCTCAAACTGGATGATCTGCATCCATTTCCATCCGTGCACATGACGATTTTCCTTTTTATTTTTTATTTTTTATTCAAACTATATCCAATTCAGTTATAGCTTTACTGATTCTAGGTGAGAAGCACGGGCTCACGCGTGTAACTTGTTACATAATGTAAAACTTCTTTAAGAAATTATTTTTTATTGACATTATTTCTTTAAGAGTTTAGTTCAGTAAAACTAAAAATTTTAAAAAATTAAGTATAACACATTCAAAAGGAAAATAAAGCTTTCAGTAAAGCAAATTAGACAGTAAATTATTTATTAGGTATGTATGTAAAAAAATATATTTGAGAGGGTTACAAAGAAAATAATATTTAGGTACGGATACATTTGAGGATGTATGATTTCAGTAAAGCAAATGTAAAAAAGCATTTATGATGACTATATTTGAAAAAAGAATATAGAGTATGCTCATATGTGAGAAAAACTATTTAAACAGAGATAAATTAGAGTACTTTTATTTGTAAAATAAATAATAGTTGAGAGTATAAAAAAAAAAGTAAATGTGGAAATATTTAAGAACAATTACTTCAAATACTTCAATGATCAAAACAAACATTGTTTTTGGTTGAAAGTATAAAATAATAGAAAACACATTGACTATTCCTATTTAAATAAGGATGTATTTGAGAAAAAAATTATTTTAATAGGGACAAATGAAAAATAAAAATAAATAAATAAATAAAATAGGGGAAAATATCTAAGAAAAGGAAAAAAAAAAAAAAAACTAGAAAAAAACATTGATCACGTGGGGGAAGGAAAGTGAATTACAGTGTGAGGCTTTTATTTGCGTGAAAAAAAAAAAAACGGTTTAAAAAGAGATACATTTGAGAAATGTTTGTATTAGGGGGATAATTAGGAATAAGATATACAAAGATCATTTTGATAAAAATAAGTATGAGTATGGTTTGAATGATTACTCCAATATCTACTTATCAATGGATATTATTATTTTAACTGTATAATATTGATTCAATATTTGTAATAAATTAAGATAATTGACTAAAAAAATAATTAATGATATTAGATTCTTAACATGCCATATCATCACATTTTTATATTTAATAGATAATCACGGCAGAAACATAACTATTAAAAAGTTGTCGAATAAGTATACATGAAAATAATAATTAAGTATAAACACGTTTATAAATATTATTTTAATAGAAGCAAGTGAAAAAAAGAGTGTTTTGAAAAACACATAAAATAAACAATTAAACGGCAGAAGATCCTTTTTTTTCCATTTAAAAAAATTATTTTAACAAGTGCAAAGTAAAGAAAAAAAAGTATTTAAAAAAACACATTATAAAAAAAGTAGACTTTAGAAAAACTTTGAAGAACAAAAAAAAAAAAAAAAAAAGATTAAAAAGACAGAAAAATGTCTAGAAAAACAATAAGCCTTTCTCTTCTGTTGGGACTTAATTACATGCACTCAACATAGGCTTAAAAAATTAATAAACCTTTCGTTATTGGCCTGAGTGCTTCTTTGTATTTCGGGTCTCTCATATAAGCCACAAACATTGCAAGCCTACTGGCCTCGCATACATTCAGCAAATAAATAAATAGTAGCCTTGCGTATATTATCCTATATACTTATATGTAAGGTCTCTTGTCATGCACTTAAAAAGTGTCTCACCAAAATAATAATTATATAATTTTATATAAATTGTGTATATTTATCTATAAATTATGTATATTTACATATAAAATTGTATATGTTAAGTTATAAGAAACGATAATATATATTAATCTTTAAAACATGTATTTTTTATAATGAACACATACTATGAATATATATATTGACTGATTTATTGTATTTCATATTAAATATACACGACTTTACATATAAATATATACAATTTATATATAAATATACATAATTTATACATAATTATACAACTGTCATCATAAGACACTTTTTAAGTATTTGATCAGAGGCAATTCCTATACTTATATTACGCATAATGCTTTTACATCTTTTAGTTGTGAATTTTAAACATCACAAAAAATAATAATAAATAAAAATCTACAGCTCAATATTTTGAAAGAATTGTTAATGAAATTACAACGACAAAGTACAAAGGAAAAACAGGAACCAAGAAGAGAAAGCTGCTGATCTTTTGCATTTGGCAGGTAAATATAAAAACCCAACCAAAGCATCGTGATTTGAATAGTAAAATAATGATTAAGCATCGTTAACGAGTGTATGGTTGGCAATTCACCGAGCAAAATATCTTCCACTTGCACTTGTGTTGTAATTTCACCTCACAACAAAACTCCTCTCTTTTTCCCTTTTAAATTTTTAATTTTTCGCCACTGGATGACAGCGACGTCTCTCCCCTTCTCCACCGTCAATTAATTCTACTATTTTTGAAAAAAATTATATATAAAAAAACAATCGAGTTCTCCGACGTTTCCTTTCTTTTAAGAATACTAATATTTTTTTAAAATTTTTTTATTGTTAAATTTAATATATAAAATAAACAAATTTTAATATAAATTTACGATTAAAAAGTAAAAATTATTGACATTTTATTCATAAATTTAAAATTATTTTTAATTTATATATATTTTTTATAAAAAAATATTATAATAAATTACTAATCATAATTTAAATAATAACACGAATACATTGCAACAAAAATATTTTATTTAAACAGTTTTTCCGGTTCATTGTCGTTTGTTTGCTTCCTTCGGTGGCCCCCACCCACTTGCCTTGAACATGAATCGCATAGAAGTAGAAGTACTTCCCGGTCCGGTGTCGGTTCGGGCCCTAAAGTCCCAATTCCCAACGGAAGAGAAATGCCAAAAAAGAAAAAGGAAAAAAAGTATACCTTTTTCTTCTGGGCTCTCGCACGTGGATCTGTGACCGCAAGTTTCGAGCAGGCGTTTAGAGCCGTTTAGGAAAAGTTTGGTTCATAAATTAAAATTATTTTTAATTTATATGTATTTTTTATAAGAGAAAATACTATAACGAATCATAAATTATGATTTAAATCGAGATACAGATTCCTCAATCAAACAACTCCTTAATTTGTGAATTTTAATTTTTAATTTAAGTAGAGATATAATTTTATGTAAAAATTTTTTATTATAATAAAAAAATTAGACTGAAAACTTTTTATCATAATAAAATTTAAAATTTAAATTTAAATTAATAAAATAAATGAGATCTTAATTCACAAATTCAGAATTCAATTCTTAATTTACTTATATTTTTTTTAAAAAAATTATAATAAATTATAAATTATAATTCAAATTATCACACAAATAATCAAATAATCGTATTAAACGCCCTTCGATATTCCGATCGCCGATGCCACGTGGGCCATGCAGGGCCTACGCGTGTGATTTTTCAACCGCGAAATTACCAGGCGTTTGATGCACCTGTCAAAACGGAATGGAGATCGGCCATTACCTCTTCGCCACGTGTCATGGCGCGCCAATCTAGGCAAAATGGAGATCGGCCATTACCTCTTCGCCACGTGTCATGGCGCGCCAATCTAGGCAAACCAGTACAAATACAAGGTGCCACTCTCCTGACATATTTCGTGAGCACTCGACACACCAACTTCCTCCAAGTCTGAGAGAGAACACAGACGATCAATTATTGAACACTCTTGTTCTTGAATAGGAGATTTTCTTTCTGCTTCTCTGTGAGTAAATTACTCTGATTTTTTCTTTTTCTTGTAAATTGTTTTCGCTAGATTTTTGGAGTGTAGATTTTTGTTCTTGTTTTGTTTATTTTTTTCTTTTGGAAGGGTGATGATGATGATAATGGTGGATAAAGATTATTATTTTGAGTTTCAGAGATTTTCTTTTAATGTTTGTTTATTACAAAAATTTTGTTGATAATGATGATTATGGATTTCAGAGATAATTTCTTTGAATGATTGTTTATGTTTTTTAAAAAATAAAAATTGTTGATGAAGATGATGAATAAAGTTAGTGTTTTGAGTTTCAGAGACAATTTCTTTGAATGTTTGTTTTATATGTATGAGCAAAAAAATTTATGATGATGGATGAAGTCTCGGACTTTGATGATTTTGATTTTTAAGCTCAAATCAGGGAAAATAAATAGAAATTCTCTCTGATTATTGCTGATTTTAGCATTATTGCGTTTTCTGTAGCTGATCTCTACTCTACTAAATACTTTTTAGTTGCTTTGCTCGTTCGTAATATTTGGACCTCTGACGACTAAATGCTCAAGCTTTTGTATTGTTAATTTGTTCTTTTTTTCTTTTCTTGTATTACTTTAGTTGATCACCAAGCGATTTATTCGAATTTGTTGTGATTTTTCTAGAATTTGGGGCTGAATTAAAATGGCGACCGTCACCTCCTCACACATCGTATCTCGGAGCTCCAGCCATGGAGCTTGTGTGTCAGAGACTAAGCACAGTTTGGCCCAAATAAGCCAGAGGAACCAAGCCATGTCTCACAATGGCTTGAGATCTCTCAACAACTTGGATATGCTGAGGATTAAGTCTGCCAATGCCGTTGCTAGGCAAGCCGTGAGGAAGGTTGAGGACCCCCGAAACGACAGGAATGTTGGCCAGATTGTCTGTGGACATGGGATGTCTGTGGTCTTTGTTTCAGCCGAGGTTGGCCCGTGGAGCAAGACTGGTGGACTTGGTGATGTCATTGGTGGATTGCCACCGGCAATGGCTGTGAGTTGGTCGCTTTTGTTGGTCATGCTCTCGTGGTTTACCAAATTGGATTAGTCTAATTGCTTAGTTTTTACATGTTTTTTAGGCTAACGGGCATCGGGTTATGACCGTTTCGCCGCGGTATGATCAGTACAAGGATGCTTGGGACACTTATGTGCTAGTTGATGTATGTTCTTTGACTCAGTTTTCAATTCTCCTTTTCTTGCAAGTTTTTTTTTTTATTTTTTTTTATTTTTATTTTTAAATTAATGGAATGGCTTTCGAAACGCAGCTAAAAGTTGGTGATAGGATTGAGACCGTTCGCTTTTTCCACTGCTTCAAGCGAGGAGTTGATCGTGTGTTCATTGATCACCCATGGTTCCTTGAGAAGGTTTGAGTCATTTCTTTCTTTATTTTCTATGTTTATCTTGGCTCTGAGGCAATATATGGTTAATGTTGTTCTAGTGGTACATGTTTAAAGATTCTGTGTTGATACAGGTGTGGGGCAAAACTGGTTCTAAAATTTATGGGCCGAAGACAGGAGTGGATTACAAGGACAACCTGTTGCGCTTCAGCTTGTTTTGCCTGGTAGGCCATTGGATAATTAGTCTTGTTCTTTCGTTTTTGTTCTTTTTTTTTCCTCAAATAAATTAGGTTTTTCATTAATCACATGGCTCACGGACTGCTGAGTGTGACACATTAAAAGTTCTCTAACTTAACTGTCACTAGCTACTAATCATTTGGCAATAGCATATGATCTGCTTGCCTATCATCTATGATTAGTTTCCTTGGTTATAAATTATGATGCTATAGTTTAAGTGGATAAGGGGAAAAAAGATTACGCGTTGATTCTCATCTCAATTTTATTCGAATTTTTGAAAATTTTCAGGCTGCTTTGGAGGCCCCAAGGGTTCTAAACTTGAACAGCAATAAATATTTCTCAGGACCGTATGGTATGGATCTCTCTCTCTCTTTCTCAAGCGTACAATCTTTTTAATGAGACAAATAATAAGGTTGCATGCTTTCCTTCCTCAATGCAGGGGAGAATATTCTATTCGTTGCCAACGACTGGCACACTGCTCTTCTTCCGTGCTACTTGAAATCCGTATACCAACCTTTAGGGATATACAAATCTGCCAAGGTAATGACTGATATGGAAATGCATCACTAGAAATTCTGGCTTGTCTGGAAGATTATTGCTTGAGACTGAAGTTGTGCTTGCTACATATTAATATTCTGTCAGGTTGCATTCTGTATACACAACATAGCCTACCAAGGAAGATTTGCCTTTGCTGACTTTGCACTTCTCAATTTGCCCGATCGATTCAAGAGTTCGTTTGACTTTATGGATGGGTAGGAATAAAATGTTATAATTATTACAGGCTAAAATGAGGGCTTTATATGCCAAAGCCCGGCATCTAAATATTTTCATGTTGCAGGTATGACAAGCCTGTAAAGGGAAGGAAAATCAATTTGATGAAGGCTGGAATTTTGGAAGCACACAGGGTTGTAACTGTGAGCCTGTACTATGCCCAGGAACTTATTTCAGGAGAAGCCAGAGGTTGTGAATTGGACAACATCATTCGTATTACTGGCATCAGCGGTATTGTAAATGGCATGGACGCCCAGGATTGGGATCCAACCACCGACAAATATCTCAGTGTCAAATATGATATCACAACTGTAAGTAACTTCTAAGAGTTTTTCTACCGTAAACATGTGTCTACGTATCTGGAGTAGAACTTTACTTACTGGAATTAAATTTCAGGTAATGGATGCAAAACCTGTGTTGAAGGAAGCGCTTCAAGCCGAAGTCGGTTTGCCTGTGGATAGGAGCATTCCTGTCATATGTTTCCTAGGTAGACTGGAGGAGCAGAAAGGTCCAGACATTCTAGCAGCTGCTATTCCACAGATCATTGATGAGAACGTTCAAATAATAATGCTTGTGAGTATCTCGCTAAATGGTTTCTTCTCCCACATATCATGTTTACAGTGGCAAGAATTAAATTGATTTTCTTGATGGGATTTCTCTTCTAGGGAACTGGCAAAAAGTACCTTGAGACGATGATTGAAGATCTTGAGAAAAAATATCCTGACAAGGTTAGAGCTATAGCAAAGTTCAACACCCCCTTAGCTCACATGATGGTGGCTGGGTCCGATTTTATCGTGATCCCAAGCAGGTTCGAACCATGTGGTCTTATTCAGCTGCAAGCTATGAGATGTGGAACAGTAAGGCTCTTGACTTTCTTTTTACACCAGCTGTTGGGATAACCATATTGCTTCCTCCGTTGGTCCTTGAAATATGATGTAACAATTGAACGGCTTTTCGATACAGATCCCTTGCACAAGCTCAACTGGAGGACTTGTTGACACTGTCAAGGACGGTTTTACAGGATTCCACATGGGAAGCTTTAACGTTGAAGTAAGTTGATGACAATACTCAATAGCAAAAAAATAATAATAATAAAAAAAAAGCTTTGTTATGAATTTTCTTGAAATAATGAGAAATGCCCTTGTGATGCTTTCCAGTGTGAGAAAATTGATCCAGCTGATGTAACTGCTGTGGCAACAACTGTCAAGAGAGCTCTTGCAACACATGGGACTCCTGTCCAAAACAGGATGATCAAAAACTGCATGGCCCAGGATCTCTCATGGAAGGTCAGCTTAAGATAGACTAGTTGAATTCTGATTACCTGAGAATCTTCTCTGACACAGGATTTTTGACTTGCAAACCATGCTTATGGCATTGATTGAATCGGGAAGTAATTTATAATGAATTTATGGTTCTGTTGTTCACGAGGCTAAAATGTGGTTGGCTTAATGCAGGGACCGGCTAAACAATGGGAAAAGTTCCTGTTGGACCTGGAAGTTGCCGGAAGTGAACCGGGCATTGAAGGGGAAGAGATTGCCCCTCTTTCCAAAGAAAACGTTCCTACTCCCTAAGCTCCCTTGTATACCGTTGTTTTCTAGTCTACGAGTAATAGTAAGTTAACCTCTTAGAGGGTATTAACAGACCCTTGCTCACTTGATTCCAGTTTCAAGTGAGCGTGATGTTTTGTGTATAAATGAGCGCTGTTTCTAGTAAAGAATGATTTAAGTTTTCAAGGATAATGGCATTTGCAGTTCTAAATTGATGTAGCGAACATAAAAAACTAACATGATGAACCGCATGTTAGTTTTTTTCAGTTGTGAATACCTGAAGATGCAGTTTTTTTCAGTTCTTCCTTCTGCCCGTTTTTAAGTTCGGAGCAAGTAAATAAGATGTGCACTCCTTCCACTTGTTGTAGCTTGTAAGCTTCTGATGACGAGCTTTAAAAATCCATCTGGTTTGGTTTTTATTTGGTTCCAAATTACTGTAGGTTTCCAACCTGTCTTAAGCACAAAAAATCTGTTTTTTTTTTTTTTTTTTAAATTAAATTATCAGTTGGTGACGAAGCATTATCTCTATGATTCAATGCTTCGTGTTTGATGTATTGAGAATTTATCTAAAATACTAATATATTGTTGATAATATTGTTATTTAAATCATATGAGAGTGGACCAAGGGGCACGAACTTTTCTTTTCAAATTGTTTTCCTTTTTTGGCCTGAAGTTGGTATATAATTTCAGATAATAATTTAAAGCACAATTACATACGGAGAGAATATAGAACTTTTTTAAACCCGTCAACTTTATGTTCAGAAAATTTTGTAACATCCAATTCTTAAGCAAGGAATCCCAGATGGGAAGTTCATTTCTGAGTGTTTATAATTTCTATAAACAAATTATAGAATCATGATTAACTTAGAGAAAGTAAAGAAACATACACAAAAGAAAAATAATCTTTTAATACAAAAAGCTTAGTTACATATGAAGATGATCAGATGAATGTTGAAATGCATTACAGCTCGTGAGGCCAAAGTGATTGATTGAACTTTCCCTTCACAGATAAGAAACTTATATACTATTTTGTCGCATTACATTTCTTTTTTGTTTCTTTTTTGAGCAGATGTTTTTTTGGGTATACAAAACATTTTTTGGTAGTTACGTCGCATCAGTATATATCTTTACACTTTGGAAAGCATATTCCAATGGACAGGCATTTCCACTGTTGTTTTCTTCTGTCTCTATACTAATTGTTTATTAATGATCTATTTAGTTCGTTGATTTAAGTTAATATATAATTTTATATGAGAATTTTTTACTATAATAAAAAAATTAGATGTGATTGTTTATGAGAACTTTTTTATTATAGTAAAACTCAAATTTTAAATTCGAATCGGTAAAATAAACGGGATCTAAGTTATTTCATGCATTGCCATTCCCTAACATAAAACGAAATGCATACCATATAATTTAATTCTAAGTTTGACAACTTGTAGCATCACGGAGAACTAGTTGACAGTAATAAGTAAATACCACCTATAATGGAGGATATATCAGTTCAAACTTTATTGTGTAGCATACCAATAAGTATACGTTAAATTGATCATGCAAAGGAAATGTTGCTTAAAAAGTAGTTTGGCTATGCAATTTCCAAACAAACGAAAAAAAGAACGTAGTTTAAAAAAAGATGGTAAAAAGCGAAATTATGAAAAGGGCAATCATGGTGTAAGGTGGATCTACTAATAATAACAAAGGAACCAAGGTAATCAATTGCAGAACTCATAAAAGAATAATGCTGATGTAAATGTACAAACAAACTGATGTTATGGTTAATTAACGGGACTTCAATATTGGTGAACAATATTTAATTCACGAATTTAAAATTATGATTCAGAATTATTTTTTATTTATGTATATTTTTTGTGAAAGAAAATATTATAACAAATCACAAATCATGATTCGAACTATAACACGAATTATCGTATCAAATACCCTAACCTCATGGGTTTGTCAAAGTGATGAGCCTGAAAGCAGGTTTTGAATTTTATAGAAGAATCAGATTTCTTTTGGGGATCCTCCGGTAGGACCATTTATAAGTAGAGCATATTTTTAATTATTAAATTCGGGTAAAATCATATAAAAAATATGTAAAATGAATAATTTTTAATACACATTTGACAGACAATCGAAAAATAGAAATTTATAAATTTTTTTTCCTTTTTTGAATTTTATAATACTAATAGAAATCACCTTTTTTTTCTTATTATTTAATAACTGCTGAGGATAAGATTTGATGTTACAGCTAAAAAGAAACCAGCACAAGAATATTATGCATTAATTAGTCAACCATGTAATTGAAATCAAAGGACAAAGGCATGCTTTTTTTTTTTTTTCATAGTTAAGGACAAAGGCGTGCTTAATGGTTCGTTTAATTAGTTAATTTGAGTTTTTAATTTAAGTTAAAATGTAATTTTATATGAAATTTTTTTATTGTAATAAAAAAATTAGATGTGATTATTTTTTAGAATTTTAGACTGTAATAAAACTCAAATTTTAAACTTAAATCGGTTAAATGAACAATATATATATATATATATGAAACACTCTCGTCCTGAATCACTATCATGTTAAAAAAGAAACAAATAATAACAACAGAAACTACTGATGCCTAAGGGCAGGCCCTCAAACATAAACAGGCCGAGGACAAGTTTCTTTTTGGTTTGCCGTAAGATAAAGAGTAATATCATGTAGTGTGTGTTTTTTTCCCTGCCAAAATAGAAAGAGAAGATTATCATGTAATTCCATGTAAAAGCTAGTTGATGCAGAGAGTAATTAGTAATTAATAATCAACGTGATCAGGCAGAGTCGCCGAAAGGTACTCAAAACTGCTTTGCTTCGCATTTATGCCATGTATATCTTTTGTGCTTCTCTGTTTCTATGTCAGAGAAAAAAAAAAGCCAAAGGTACAAAACTGTAAAATAAAAAATGAGAATTTTTCTATAAAAAATATCGATATTATCTGTTTTTTAATCGTTAAATTTATATTATTTTTTTAATTTAATTTTTTATTAAATTTAATATAAATTTAATATTTTATAAATAAAAAACACTGATATTTAAAAAAAAAAAAAGAAACACAGAAAAAATCCCAATAAAAATCAAGTAAAGTTTGCAATCTTATCTCCTCTCTGAGTCTGAGACTCTAAAAAAAATAATAATAATAACGAGAGAGAAGCATCCGAGAAGAGGATGGTAATGATGTGAACATTGTCGGAGAAATACCATTTCGGACCCACCGGGCCCCACCTCCATAGAATCCCATCACCACCACTGAAATGCCCTTTAATCAATTATCACAATGATCAATTTGATCACAAAAACACACCCAATCTCACAAAAACAATATCGTACCATTTATGAACTTCCCTTTTAAAGCAGCAGCACACAATTCTGTGCTTTAGGCCCAGTTTAGGAGTGATTCTTAAAGCTCAAAATTAATTTTTTAATTATTTATAGTTAAAATTTATATTTGATAAAAATTATAAAAAATAATTCTTAAAGAATTTTTAAAAAATTTAAAATTAAAATAAAAAATAATTTTAACTTTTGAATTATGTGATTATTTTTTTACTACCAATCTCTCTCTCTCTCTCTCTCTCCTGAAATCTAAGAATTTCATACTCAAAATTTATGAGACTCACTCTCTCAATCTCCCTCCCTCCCCCTCTCTCTCTCTCTCTCTCTCTCTCTCTCCCCGTGCTCTCTCTATTTTTGTTGTAACTACATATTGTAAATAAAAAAATAAAAAAAATATTAATTATTATAAATTTAATGTTTCAAAGAAATTGTGTTTTTTTTAAGTTAAACAAATATATTTTAATAACAAATAAAATTATATATATTTAAATATCATATCATATCTATTTTAATTATCTTAACTATCAATAACAATTAAATATCACAATTTATTAAATATTATTACACTATTTTTAAAACTAACAACACTTATATAATTATAATTATTAAATACTTAATTATTTTTTATAACGACTGTTTTTTTATATAATTTTTCTAAGATTTACGTACTATTAAATTGACGTCCAGCCCCCATTTGAGTACTCTTTTTGTAGAGCCCTCTAATATCAATCACTAACAAAATTCCAACCAAAGCTGATCACTGATATAATAATATAAAAAACAACCCTTGAAAAATATCAAAAGAGCCGTCTCCATATCCTATCATTTTCTTCTCTCTCTCTCTCTCTCTAAAAAAAAGAATCCGGTGTAGTTTTTACTGTTTTAGTTAGTGGACTGCTTACATCTATCCTACTCTGATTACCTCAGCTGGGAGACTCTGAACTGATCTCTCTCTCTCTCTCTAAACACACTATTAACTTTCCATTGCGTAACGCTTCGGGAACGCCATTTCGAGCCCCAAAAAAGCTTAAACTTCAGTTTCCCTTTCTGGGAATTGCTGATACATTGCAGAAGAAAAGCTTCACATTTTCTTCCTCCAATGGAGTCCACTAGACTCTACCCACTTCTCTTCTTCTTCGTCTCAGGTATTTTACTCTACTCTCACTATTTTCTCTCTCATTTACAGTACTTTAAATTTCTGGGTCTTATTTAAAAAAAAAATTGCAGCTTTATGGTTTCCTGTAATGGTAACTCCACTGGGAGTAAACTACGGCCAAATAGCAAACAACCTCCCATCTCCAGACGACGCCGTTCAGTTAGTCAAATCCATCGGCGCGACGAAAGTCAAGCTCTACGACGCCGATCCGAAGGTCCTCCGTGCGTTCGCCAACACGGGAGTGGAGTTCATGGTGTGCCTGGGCAACGAGTACCTGTCCAAGATCCAGGACCCGGCCCAGGCCCAATCCTGGATCAAGTCCAATGTCCAGGTCCACCTCCCGGCGACGAAGATCACCGCTATCTTCGTCGGCAACGAGGTCCTCACCTTCAACGACACCTCCCTCTCGGGAAACCTCCTTCCGGCGATGCAGAGCGTCCACGCCTCCCTCGTCGACCTCGGCCTCGACAAGCAAATCACCGTCACCACAGCTCACTCTCTCGCGATTCTAGAATCTTCTTATCCTCCTTCTTCTGGAAAGTTCCGCCGTGACCTGATCAACTGCATTACTCCGATCTTGAGCTTCCATCTCAAGACCGGATCTCCATTTCTGATCAATGCTTATCCTTATTTCGCTTACAAAGGGAATCCGAAGCAAGTCTCGCTCGATTTCGTGCTTTTTCAGCCGAACCAGGGGGTTCTAGATCCGGCGACGAATTTCCACTACGACAACATGCTGTTCGCGCAGATCGACGCGGTTCACTCGGCCTTGGACGCCGTCGGATACAATAAGCTTCCGGTGCACATCTCTGAGACCGGATGGCCGTCGAAGGGAGACGCAGACGAGGCCGGAGCGACGCCGGATAACGCCAAGAAGTACAACGGGAACCTAATCAAGACAATATGCCAGAGGAAAGGGACGCCGATGAGGCCGAATTGCGATCTCAATATCTACGTCTTCGCTCTGTTCAACGAGAATATGAAGCCAGGTCCGACGTCGGAGAGGAATTACGGGCTTTTCAAGCCCGACAGGACTCCGGTGTATTCGCTCGGGATCTCCACGAGCTCCACCACCTCCGTCGGGAACACGACGTCGAGTTCCGGTTCTGGTTCCGGTGGGTCTGGTACGCCGGCGAGCTCTGGCTCGTCGTTTCCGTCGACGGCGAATTCTTCCAGTACTGGCTATTTGTCTATTTCCTCTGCCGTTTCCACTGTAAGTTTCTGTGGTGTCGTTTGTCGTTTGGCTCTTGTCTTGTCCGTGGGTTTTACTTTTACGATGGCGGGTTTTTTTTTTTAATTAATGACTTGGTCCAAATATCTGTAATTGATTGTAATGACTAATTGGCATAATTGTTTTTGTCTCTGTTATGAAGTGGTAATAGAGTATTAGTCTTAAAGAGAGTTAATTTTTTTCAAACATGTTTTGCTTAAACTCCGAAGTGTTGGTGTTTCCTTTAAAGAAGATGGGCCAAATGGTCCCGTTTGGATTTTGGATGTTGCGTTTGGTTTGATTTGTGACTCACCAAGAAAACAATTGCATCGTTGTCAACCATGTGCTTTTTTTTTTGTGTAATTCCCTGTAGTTTTTGTTTGTTTTGTTTTGTTTTTTTTTTTTACCAACTAAACTAGTACAATAATTCCATTGCTGTAATTTTTGTTATTTCAGGGGAAGGACCATTTGCATTTGTTGCCAAAGGTTTTGGCTCCATGCCTCCTTTTGATAGGATTATTTCTTTGAATTTGAAGACAAAGAAAGAGGCCTAATTAGGAGCCAGCCAGAGGTTGAAAAGCAAAAGAAAGAAAGAAGGAAAAAAAAAAAAAAAAAAAAAAGAAAAAGAG